CTGCTGCTGTGGCTGCTGCGGCTGTCTAACAGTAGCTTGGCTGCTTTGATTTTTTGGCGCAAGTCCAAGTCCATGGACATACAACACTTCAAAATGAAAGCACATTCCCTTGTAGAAATTTTACCGTTACAGGTACAGCGCACCCCATGCACATTAGGTCGTTTGTCCAACGTCCAATGTCCGCGGTCCGTTGTCCATTTTCCACTGCCATCATGCTGATGATCGGCCAACCTGGCCAACACTTGGCAGCTTTATGGCTCAGATATTTGCAAATCTCCAGGTTCCGCAGCGTCTTGAGCTGTTATTGTAGCTGTTCTCCTCTTGTTATTCTAGCTGATGATCTGCCATCATCTTCATCCCGACGAAGAGGAAGCGACGAAGGCCGAGATCTCTTCAGCCGCGTGCCATGGTCGTTGGTTATTTATTTGAGTCAATGAGTTCACAACTATTTTTCTATTTTTCCTTAATGGCTTTTTCTATCCCACCCGCCCCCGCTCTCGCTTTTCACGATGCCCCCTTGAGTTTTCCTCCTCACATTTCGCTTCATTTTCCGGGGAAGGAAGCGCCTTGTTGTCTTCGCTTGATTGATGGTTTGATAATATGAAGTCGGCTGGGCTGTATTTTTTTGTTGGCCCGTGTGGAGCAAAGGATTGTTATGATGGCCAGTGCTGCAAATGAGTTCAATTGAAGATTATCTTTTATTAATTAGCGTGGCGGGGGAATGTGGGTCAGCGTTGGAATCCGGTGGGTTGATTGGGGCATCCTTTGTGCCGTGATTGGGATTGGGTGGTGGAATGTTCAGGTGATTGACGGTGGAATGTTGTATCTTTTAGTTGCGAGTAGTGAGTGTTTGCTTAGCGGAGATATAGATAAGGAACAGGGGTAAAGAGGAGGGATTTTTATCAAAGATAGTTGGTGCATTTTAGGATAAAATATATATAGAGAACTTATCTATTGTTTTATAAAGACCCTTACATAGTGTTCTCAAGGTTTCTAGTTGAAAAGCAAAGTATTCACTATACAGTAATAGGCGTTTAACCATCGAATTTAAAGTAAATTCATTAAAAACTTAGAAGTAGGTATGAAAATTCTTATTTGATAAAATAAAGATTTATTCATTCTTCCGATTAAAATGTGGTTTCTCCAGTAAACAATTTCTTTATTTAATATACAGATAGACTAGGAAACATTTTTTGTACCAATTACAAAAGATCGATTGACAGATATGTTGAATCTGAAACAAAATACACCACACCTTGAGAAAATTCCTCAAGCTGATCTCCTCATAATTAAGTATTTAATTGCTTAGGTTTTCCTAGTAACTCCAATCGATGATCGCCATGTTTCGAACCTTGTCGACACAAATCATGTTCTATGAAGTGAAGAATTTCCTGATTAACTTTGCCCCGGGAATCGGTGCACCAATTGACAGCCAAGCAAGTACATAAATACCAACATATTCATAGACACCGCATAGCTCCGATTGGGAGTCTAAACATATAGGAAATTAGCATAAGGCCAGTCGTTTCGATTCCCATAAGTCAGGCACGATGCCATGGAGATTATGCATAATTAAAACGTTCGCATACAATAATTAGCCATAAGCAAGTACACATGCAAAGTGCCGCTGTTAAATGGCTAAATAAACATTTAGTTTATGGCTTATACCTTTTAACTAAACGAGACAACAACAGTTAAGCCAAATAAACAATTTGATAAATTTATGCAAGGTGTGACAAAAAAAAGCGGAGAAATAATAAAAGCGAAAATCAAGCAGCGAAATGAGCCAACGAAAAGCAACAACATTCGAGAGTGTTTAGGAGAGCTTTAACACCTAAGCGCCCCCGCCGCTGTCCCCTTTTCGCCCCCTTTAACCCTTCAACGGCAGCTGCTGCACATAATTGGCCGGACAAAAAAAAAGAAACAACAACATGAAGCGATCGTAAACATTTATTTTTCGTATAGTTGTTGCAGGTGTGCCAGTGTGTGTGTGCATTTTGTATCTGTGTGTGTGTGTGGAAGACCCGCCCGCCTTTGGACCGCCGATATTGTTGTTGTTGTTGTTGTCGCTGCCGCTGGCGAGTTTTTGTTAAAACGTTTTCAAATCGCACAGCGAATGAAAACGAAAGAAAAAATGAAACACATCGAAAGTGAGCATATAACGAAGCGCTCCACGGCAATGTTGTCGACGTATCAGAGCGCTCGTAGTGCCCCGATCCGATCCCCCATATACTCGTACTGCCCCCCGTCCGATCCACTATTTCCGAGAGACTTTGCATGGCCGGTCGATCGGCCGACGACCATCGCCAGGCACATCGGACTATGGCATCGTACACATGGGGAAATATAACCCCTGTATCATAAAAAGTACTAGCACTTGTAAACCAAATAGGTAAGACTAATGTTAATAATAATGGTTAAACTTTGTTATATATTTTTTATTTAGTTAGGAACGGTTAATAATTTGCAATGGTTGATCAAATAATTAACTTAGTGACCCAAACTTATGGGTTCTTTGAAAAACATAGTAAGTTTCTTTAATGTTAGCCAAGAAAAATCACAACAAAAATGAACAAAATCATTATTAGTGTTCGTAATAAAAATTTACTATTTACTATACTTTATTATATATTTTGTATTTAGTTAGGAACGGTTTATATTTTGCAAAGTTATGGGTTCTTTAAAAAACATAGTAAGGTTTTTTAATGTTAGCCAACGAAAATCACAACAAAAAGGAACAAAAAAGTGTTCTAACAAGTAAATTGTCATTAGTAGTGTTCGTAATAAAAATTTACTATGGGTCCTCAACTTTTAAATGATTTTTGGATCACTTAAAATATTAAAGATGTAAGCAAATACCTCGCAAATTGGGCTTGTTAAACTTTAATTAATAGTTTATTTTTTCCGTGCATGGAGGTCGGCACTGTATGCACTGGTGACCACCATCGTTGTCGGTTCCACACTGCACCACTGGGCTTTTAAAGTGGAGAGCGTGCCCCACCAGAGGAGATTCAGTTGGGTGGCTATCTGCTAGGAATGTGGATTGGAGGCAAGGAGACGAGCCGTAACGAACATGGCTATCTTTATGGCCCCCAACACTTTTAACTTTAATGGAAACCCAAAAAAATAAAATACTGGTAATGCAATTTCGGTTTATTTAGGAAAATAATGTATTCAAGATAATTCTACACCTATTACATACATTAAATCTCAAACTAAAGTTACTATTATTTGAAAACTCAAAAAAAATTTACTGGTAATGCAATTTTAGTGTGTTTAGAAAACTTTATTTTCATTATAATTCTAAAGTGTTTTCATATTTCAAATTTAAAACTTATTCAATATTATAAGCATTTATAGGAAAATAGGTATAGTCTCTTTTTAAGCCAAGATATAACTTATAATTAAAGTTTCGATTGGTCCTGAAAAGTAGTTTTGATTGGAATTAAAATACCTCCGGCACTTAGAACATCGAATACTTTCAAACACCTTTCAAAAGTCTTGAAGGAATATTTAGCAAATGGGTTAGACCCTTGAAAAAAAACCACCAAGCTCATAATTTACGTCAAATTTGTCAAATGTTAGTTTTCTCTGCAAAATCATTCTTCGCACGTATTTTTCCATTCTTGTTAGACACGAGCTATCTGTTTCTGCAGATCTGTGGCACTATAGGTAAACAAAAACACTAAGCATACACACACTCACAGCGCTTAGCATTCCACAATTGGCTCATTTGAGAATCGTTAGCTGCGTATCCAGAGACCTTCCCCTGTTTTCCAGATACAGATACATTCAGAGGTCTAGATACAGATACGAAGGCGAACTGTGTCCGTTGTTTGTCGTCGTGTTGTCGTCGTTCGTTTCTAATTATACGATAGGAGCGCTATGGGCCATGAAACGTGCGGGGTCTGACCTTCTCGCAGAGCCTGCCTTCGAGTATATTGTACTAGTACTAGTGTATATACAATATACTGCATCTAGGCCCGTGGCTGCATCTGTATCTGTATATCTGAGCCTCCGAATGGATTCATGCTGCCTTATACTCGTAGGCGATTATTAAATTTTCAGCGTTTGGCCGGCAAAAGGCTTCTGCGGTAGCAGCTGTTATTAACTTGGGCGCTTACCTCTTACATATTTAATTATTTGGAGGCCAGGCCTTTGAATTCTTGGGCGGGCCGGGACACTTGGCCTAATGCTTTTGGCCACAGCCCAGCCCAATGACCAACCTAATGACCTTAATATCCCCTGACAAAGCCGTGTCCATCTCTCTTTGTAAAACCCGTTTAATTGTTAACTATTAAACGAAATTAAATGCTGAGTATGAATAGTTTGAAATTATATTATGAGAACACCTTCGACCAACCGCATTCATATCGAATTGATCATTTAACTCAACAATTTATGGGCTTATAATAACCAGGTAATCTTTGGTATTTTTAAGTACAGCAATTGACCTTATAACACTTCCGTTAACTTAATTATATGTGTTCTTGTCTTCACTTTAATTAAGATTTCTGCTTATTTTTTATAGATGCAATGAATTTTTGTAAGTAAATAATAATTAGAAAAGGAATGTTTTAAGACTTAAAAAAAACAAAGGCAAGATGTTTCTTGGTTATACGATTTATTTTATTTAATATTTTTATATTTTTAACACCCATCTATTTTTAAGGTTTGTGAATATGATTCCACAATTTACCACTAACAATCACCATTCAATTGGTTTCCCATCGATCCATCTTTACCCATGTCACCGTTTGCCGTTCCCCCCACAATCCTCCGCTGAAGATTAACCGAAGTGCGCGACAAAAAAATCGAAATCTGATGTATTTGTCTAACATCTTCGGCATTAAGCTCACCCCCAGCCCAAAACGCGAGATTTCCGCATTAGAAACGATTTTTTAATTATTATTTTCAGACGCCTACACGCAAAACCGAAACTCGATGGCTTCGAGTGGATGCTCTGCTCAAATGTCAGGCTTATTAATACAACGGCCCCAACAGATCTCTCGACTCAAGTGCCGGGGATTTGTGGCTGGGGCTCGAGATCGAGTTGAGGACGCTGTGCATCTTTATGTGGGAGTGCGGGCTCCATTGATGACACGTCATTTGCTGGCATAGACATCTTCGTCAAATGTGTTAAGTTGCGCTAAGAGGGAAAACAGGTCTTCCAGTTCAACGGCAAGGGTGTCAGTAAAATGTCATGGAAAGCCACTTAGCTGGGAGTTTTCAATTTTTGTATTTCTGTTGATTTCTTGTAACTTTTCTGAATCGGATCCACAGACTCCCCACATCCGCTTGAAACGTTGTGTGTGAAACGAGAAATCTTAGAAGTGGCGATCAGACATTTGTCAATTTTCCTGCCCGGAGGTTGGTATTTGGTTTTGGTGCGATTGGTTCTTGCTCGCGGGCAATGCTCAATTACGGTTTTGATTTAAATCAGTCTACTGACCCCAAAAGTTCAGCTACGGAAATTGCAAATTTAATAATTGACTAGCTCAGAAAACTGTAAAACCCAAACCAGGGGGCTTATTAATGCGATAACCTTGGCTGATTTAATTTCTGCCGTCTGTTCGCCGGGCCTGTGATTATCCAGCAGCAAGAAAAAACCAAGCCAAGCCGAAGAAAAATGAAAAAAAAAACAACCAGCGACTTCCATAACAACAAAAGGAAAATCAAAACTTGCACAATTTCGACACTAAACGACGATGTCTGGGCCACTCTTCGAGTGCCTTCGAGCTGCCAGTTAGTCGCATATTTAATTAAGTGATTGAGTAGCGCAAATAGTGTTGAACAATGGCCAGCACGAGTCGCATCTACACTGCGAGAAATGCCTAGGTGGCATCAGAATTGACTTTTGTGCTTGTATAATCAAAGTTCTCCCGGGGAGTTTTTGAATTGGCGAAGAATTCTGGATCAAAGAAATCGGCATAATCACCGAGTCTTTTGCATCTTCGTTTCTTTGGTTTTCCCATGTCCTTTTTATCCCGAAAGTAATTCTCATCCATATCGCCCAGGAATTTAGTGTTCTTGGGGAGAGTATATTTTACATGAAAACTTTCTCGGTTCGGATTGAAGTTTATCTCGAAGGACGAGAATTTGATTCGGTTGGCAAAGGGTTCTGGAATGCAAGAACTCAACAGCCAGTCCTTCATCTCGCTTATATGTTTTCGCTGCCCAATCATTACCCCAAAAGCTCGTCTTGCGCCATGGGTGAATACTATATATCCAGAAATCTCCTTCCCGTGGCAGCGACGCAATAGTCGACTTCGGAAGCCATTTCCTGGCATAAGGTTGTACAGCTTAAATTCGCTCTTGACCCGAAGATTCATATCAAACATCCAGTTAATGGGAACCTTATATGTCAATGTAGGTTTAGCTTTTCTCTGCATTGTATTCTTGGTTAAATAACTTTATAGAAATCACGAGAATAAAATGTTGAAAAATTAAAATATTTTAGTATTATAATTTTGGTTTGTTCGGTTTAATGTGGCTTGCGTTGGGGTTTGTTTGTAAGTGAAATGTCTATATAATGAAGGATAAGGCAAAGCATAAGCTATATATTTTTTTTTTTATATTTCACATATAAGAAATATTGTTTAAAAATAAAATATCGGTTTTAATTTTAAGACATTTTCTAGAATTTAAATAATAAAAATATAATTTAAAATGGTTGCAGTGGTAAATCAATTTTTATGTCCTGTTTATTCTGTGTTATTTAGTATATAGGCCAAGAATGTAGTTTCTTAGTCTCTTTTCAAACATCAGAGTATCATACTTTGCCTTTCCTTCAAAACTGAAAAATCCCAATCTGAAGTCACAAAAATGTCCCTGGAGCTGGTGCCCCGGACCGAACCAGTGAAGATCTATCTAATAACCTATGAGATGAGGGTACCCGAAGATTCCGGTAAGGCAATCCTGCCCATTGTGGCCCACAAAGCCACAGAACTGGAAGTGTGTGGCTACATCGCGCATACGCACTGTGGCCGCAAGGTGGGCGGCGAACTGGAGGGCACAGAGACTGGTCTGCGGGCGATGGTCGAGTGGCTGCTGGCCAAAAGCCAAGGGAACGGGGATCTCGGGGACGGGGAGAAGATCAAAAGCCAGATGACCGAGCCACGATTCTCGAAGTGGAAGCTGCAATCAGGGGCCAAATACGATGATTTCTTTTGCTGCTGAGTGCTGCCGAGAGGAGTTGATTAAAAATCGCAAATTGCATTGGCCCCAGAATATTGTTTCGAGTGCATTTTCATCTCATAAACCATAACAATCAGTGTCGGCTGCTGCCGCTGCTGCTGCTGCTGCAGTTGGGCCATTGAACAATGGCCCGGCTGACTCAAAGCTGACTTTTCAAAGTCAAAAACGCGATTGTATCATCAGTATTTTTCGGGGCGCGCTCTCTGTCTCTGATTTTTTTTCTTATTTTTAGATTTTTCCCGCTCGGCACTAGCAGATAAAGTTGAGGAGCCCGAGCTGCGGCGAAAAACAATCGAATCAATTCATTTTTCTAGGGCGTACTGTGCCACTTGAACGTTGAACTGCAGACGCCCCAATGCTGACTACCGCTGAGGTTTCGCTTTTGGTTTTCCATCTCCAACTCGAACTCCTCCGGAGCTGCCATTGTCTTCCAAGACGGCAGCTCGGTCTTGATCGTGCCCCGGCACTAGTCATTTTAATTTTTCAAGATTTTCCGAGCGCTGTGCTTCTGCGCATTTCGCAATCTGAACTCTATAAATCTCTTGCGCCGGTGTGTTAGATTTATGGGTTATGGGCCAAATGGGAGCGGGCCAAGCCAAATGTTCTATGGGCCCCAAAAAAAATACGCGATCCGGGCGATTCAATTAGATCTAAACGCTGTCAACATCCAGGCACTAATAACCCACAAGAAACCAGGAGAGGGGATGCAAAAAAAAAAAAGAAAACTATGAAAAAAAGTAGAAATAAAACCAAGAGTGTCGTCTGGCCTGTGTCTGTGGCATAATGTTGCATAATATTTTATGCATGCAGAGCTGGCAGATTGCAACATGTTGCCATGTTGCAGCTCCGACTTCGACGCCGGCTCCGCCGATGCTGATGATGATGATGATGCATAGCCCCAAGAATCGCTGAGACAGCCAAGCGCTGTGGCGCCCCTCCCTGAATCTGAAAATCCTGAAAACCTTTGCGCCGACATCCAGCTGTGTGTGCCCGGGCTCAAAGTGTGTCGAATATTCAAGTGAAAATTTCGCCCCAGCCCCAAAGACCCGCTGCGATATATCGCAGAGTCCTCCAGAGTGCGGCGCTTCGATGACGTTGAGCTTGGATTTGAATCTGGATCCGACCATGTGTTGGTTGGTCTCTCTGCCCATGCATGCAAGCCATATATCGACACGGTGAAAAAATCGTGGTCTCTTAAGTACTCCTTATCGAGATGATCAGGTTTTTCTAATATTTTTATTGTTTTAGAAACAGCATACATATGAAACGTACATTTTAATATTGATATATGCGTGCTCATTAAATAATTTACAAATGCTTAATGTATGTATGTGGATAGAAACACCAAGAATCTGAAAATGTTGATTTTAAATACAAACAGTGTGGTAGAAATACCACCTATTCCACCTCTACAAATACAAAATATTTTGTTATGGTAGATATGGTTGATTGATACATAAGAGTTTATTGTAATATGTATTTGATTCACTAGTCATTAGAAATTATATTGTACATCAGTACCAAAAATGGATGTACCAGGATACCATCGTGTTAACAACGATAAAGTTGATATACCTTTTATCTATACTTTTTCATTCAATCTCATAATAACAGATAGGAACTATTTTGATGTGATAAAGTGTCGAATTGATGATCGATTATTTTCTCTGCATATTTGCATCTCTCGGTTATGGGATATCGCTACGTATCCGAGGCTCTATAGGTGGGTAGCTCAGAGACTCGGTCTCTTGGTCTGGTATTTGATTAGACGGCAAAAGGCGACGGCGGCAAACTTGATCGCGTTGCTGTTGTTGTTTCTGTTTTGTTTTTGCTGTTGCTGTTGCTGTTGCCCGATGTTGTTGCTCTGGCTCTTTAAGTCGAACAATTACATTTTAAGCGTAGCACAACCTTGGATACCGTTATATTTTTGCAGTTGGTTGGGCGTGTGTTGAGCAAATTACCCAACAAACATTCGCTGTCTAAGTATGTTCCTTCAGAGCTTCGTAGGAAAATGTATATAAAGCTAAATTGCTTAAGTAAAAGAAGGTTTCATAAATATATCAGTGTAAAATAAATCTACAATACGTTCTAACTTTTTATCTTAAAATTGTTATAACGCTAAATTGCTTAAGAAAGAAAAGGATACACAAATATGTCAGAGTAAAATAAATCTACATTACAAAAAATTCACTCTTTTGATAAGAAAAAAATTTTTTTTTTAGAAAACAAGAACTTTTTAAAAATATTCCTAAGCATATTTTCTAATTTTGTAAATTATACTTATAGAGTTTTTAAACTTGTTTTCTCATTCATCTTAAAGTGTGTTCAATTTAAATGTCATTTAATGGTTAATAATCTTATAATCTTTATTATCTGAACTGATCTGTTAGTAAACTAATATTTATTTCTACAACGCCTAATCGTTTGTAAACCCAATTCAAATTACTCTTCTTGAACCTCATTTCATCCAACTAAGGCAGCCATTTCCCCTCGAAAACTCCCAAAAAGGGAGCCCCGACCAAAACCTTTACTCCCCCGAAATGTTGATGCGGTTATGGGCCGCAGACACCGCACCGCTGGGCTAAACACGACTCGGCAATCTGCAAACGTAGCAGCGTTCGACAGTCGACAGTCGCCCCGATCGGCCAGTCAGTCTACGAATCGGACTGAAATCCAGGCCTGGGCTTACAGCAAAGAGCCAAGACCGAAGACCGAAGACCGAGGACTGAAGACCAGGCCAGACCTGGCCAAAAGCGAGTCGACCACACCCGCACACTTCATTATTTTTATGTCGCCTGTGGTGGTACGATTTAAACGACAAACGCGGCAGCCGGCGAGCAGACGTTGGCGAATGGATCGCAAGTCTTTGGAGCCAGACTTGGGAGACCATGGCACGACATCCACCGAGAACTCCCTCCCCGCTCGCCCAGCCAAGAGACAGAAATAAACCCCGAAAAAAAAAGAAATAGGCACAAAAAGAGCCAAAAGCAAGCCAAGAAATTAGACGCATTCGACGTTTTGGAACGAGCGACAAGTCAAAGTAGCAAAAGACCCGGGCACAAGCTAACTCCCTATCCCTCTTCCTCTTCCAACCCATCTCTTTCTATCCAACTAAGCCCATCTCTTTCTGCATCTTTGAGGCACGTTGCTCCTTTTTGGAGCCAGGGCACATCTCATGTTGATGTTACAATTGCTGCTCCGTTCATTGGATTTTCGGTTTTTTTTTTTGGGGGATTTTTTTTGCGATCGTGCGCCAGTTCAAATGTGCCTAGTGGGTTTGAAAATTTGTAGCGCCCAAAAAAGCAAAAACAACAACCATAGTCAGTACAACGGCAACAACAATTACCCACAATTACAACAATAACGAAACAGCAACAAAAACAACGCAGGCAAAAGGAAACTTCGTTAGTGGCCAAAAAGAGATCCAATGTGGGGCCTCAAAAATGCACTGGGAAAAACTAATAACCCCTTAAAAGGAATGCAATAAAAACAATATCAAACAGGAATATATATAAATACAAGTCCATATTCGATCTTGAATAGTACATTTTTCATTATCACTTTACTTTTACTTACTACTTACATTATAAAATGGAATTTCAATGCAGAAACATACTATTATTCAAATATAATATTACTTTTACTTACTACTTACATTACAAAATAAAATGGAATTTTAATGCAGGAACATTCTATAGTTTAAATAAAATCTTACTATAAAATTGATAAGGTTATTATGCTTACAAAAATTGTGTTATATCTATGTTGCCGTTTTCTTAACCTTTTCAAATTTGTATATAGCCTAGAAAATATATTTAAAGCTTTAACTTTGTTGGGAAGCAAATACTTTTAAGCCCAAAATTCAGATAAGAAACACTTTGACTATAAAATACTTTAATTTATAATTCTATACCTGTTTTTTTCCAGTGCACGATCTTCAGTTACTGACTGAGCTTCAGCTAGAGTTCCTAAAGGTTCCAACTTGAGGGAGTTTCTGGTGCGGGTGGTTCGGGGAGCCGGTGTAATTTATCTTGATGTTTAAATCAATAATAACGCCGTCAGTGTGCGTTTGCTTTTAGCGACTTTTGATCGCTTCACCAGCCAAACTTCCAGCCGGCCAAGAAATACAAAAAAAATAACCAAAGTCAGTCAGGGAGTCACAGAGTCAGTCAGTCAGTCACTCCATCGATATTTTAATAGATGTTGCTGCCGCGCGATTATTGTTATTATTACTGTGGGGAATTTCAATATGCGGCCGCCGTTTGCGCAGATTATTAAGGCACGAACAGGAAAATTACGTCGATGACGACGACGACGCGACTCGTAGTGTTTCCATAATTATTGCTATGGGCTATAGGCTTTTGATCTGGTTTCGTTCTGGCCACAATCGTTGCAAGTGTGTGTGAGTGCTGGCATGCCGCCCCAGTAGGCCGCATTTTGGAGACACGGTTCTTGGTCTGGCGTCTACGCCTATTCGTCTGCTGATCTTTACAAGCTCTGCTTCAGATTTTCCAATTTTTTTCTTCTATTTTTCGTCCATTGTTCAGTCAGTTTGGCTGAAGAGCTGCGATTGCCTGAGGTTTTCTGTATTTAGTTGTGGGCCGAATTGTTTCGTAATTGTAAAATATGTTGTTATGCTTTAACTTGTTGTTGCTGCCGCTGCGATGCGACAAATGTGTGTACAGTTAGCCGAGGGCTGCGGCATCTGCGGAAAATGCGGGGGCGGCGTAATGGCGGGGGCGTGGTACATATACAAGCACTGGGAATTTTCACTTCCATTTGATCTGGGAAAGGCAATGTTCCGATTGTGCTCAGGAATTTTTCCGTCGTTTGGATGAGTAATGATTGGAGGGGGAAAAACGATTGGAGCAGATCTGTTGCTACACCTAAACGGATCTGATTGGGCTCGGAAAAAATTAGCTCGAAATTTATTACCAAGGGGTATTTAGTAAAGCTTTTTTTGTTCTTAATAACTTACTTATAATGATGGAATTTAAGGTTTAAAT